TTTTTTTTTTTTTTTTTTTTTTTCGAAACGATAGATTTTATAGCTCAAAAGATATTTACAACCCGGAGACTAAAGAGCCTCATACACCCTACTAAGGGAAGATGAGAGTTAAGAAGGGAAAAGTATGTATCTACATATTTTTAAGGTTGCCTTCGGTACCATTCATTCATCATTGACGAATGTAGCAAAACTCAATAGAACCTACCTTTATTGGTGTTAAGAAAACACAATTTTTGTTTTTCTATGAGGTGTCGTATTTGTTTGGTGGATAGACTTGTTAAACTTTTTAATAAAAAACATATTTATACTATGAAATGTAATATTTTTTTTTTAAGATTATAACTTTTTATTTTTAGAATCCTACCTTATATATTAATTCAGAACGTGCTGAACTTATGTGACAGACTCGCATGCTTCGGGATCCTATGTGGCAAACTTACATGATTCGTTATTAGGCTTGCATAGATTTAATTTACTTCTAATCAAAAAATATTTAGGTTCGGATTATCTATAAATATGTTGATTATTTATGGTAGGGGTAGGCGCGGTCCTGGACGGTTCTGGATTTGATTTGTCCAAATACCGATCTCACTTTTATGAATCGGTCCATGAACGGCCCGGGATGAGGTACGTCCCCACCCATGTAATACATGGGTGTTGTACTAGTATGTATATATATTGAGAAAGTGTGATCACTGGGTAGACGAATAAAATCTTTAATGACATGATTGGTATGGAGGAATGACATGGAAATAGAATGATCATTCCCTTACACATTTCTTATCCCATGATTGGTATATTTTTTAGAAAGGAATGACCATTCCAATGGGAATGACAAAACCCATCTCTATGGGATTAGCCATTCCATAGAAAATGGAAGGTTTTCTCATTCCCATGTGTGTAGGAATCAAATTTCAAACAACAAAATTAACAATTAATAATAAAACTATAATATATATTACAAATCATGATTAAAATATATTAAATAGAATTCAAATAAAAAAATTGAAAACTTACTTTTATTTATTTTTTAATTAGATATATTAAATACTTATAGAAAAATAAAACTAAAAAAAGCATTTATATATAATTTAAAAATATATTATTTTATTTTTATATATTATTTAAAATATATTATTTTTTATATATTAAAAATATATTAATTTTAAAAATATGTTATTGAAAAATATTAAAAATATATTACTTTTTATTTGTAAATATTAATAAAAATATATTATTTTAAAAAATGATATTCAAATAAAAAATTGAAAACTTACTGTTATTTATTTTTTAATTAAAAAATAAAATATTTATTATTAAAAATATATTACTTTTTATTTTTATATAATTTTAATAAATATTATTTTTTATATATTAAAAATATAATACTTTTTAAGATTTTTTATATATAATTTAAAAATATATTATTTTTTATATATTATTAAAAATATATTATTTTTATATTATTAATAAATATATTATTTTATTTTATATATTATAAAAAATATATTATTTTATTTTTATATATTATTAAAAAAACATTTATATATAATTTATATTATATTATTTTTTTAAAAAAAAAAACTTTTATTTATTTTTATAATAAAAAATGATAATGTCATTCCATTCAAGTCCTATTCCTTCCGCACAGTTTTGATATGGAGTCATCGGATGGCTCGACTTATGGAGCCATCCGCACTTATTAACCAATAGTGTATTGACATGTGTTGTACAATAAATACAATTTGGACAGGTGTCAATAAATTAAGTGGTGGATGACTCCATAAGAAAACCATCTGATGGGCTCCATAGAATTTTTGTCCTTCTGCATACCAAACGCATCAATGAAAAACTTGTTTCATTCCATTCCCATAATCATTCCATTCTTCAATCCATTCTATGAAATTCCATTCCATTATACCAATCATGCCATAATTGTAGTAGAGGTGTAGAAATTAAAGTTGGAGAAAATAGATATAAATGGTTAATGTGATCGAAAAATTTTACTCCGTTGTTTCTTTTTGCATTTATGGATAAAGATGAAAGAATATATTTTCTAAACAGAGATTGTCACTCATTTTGCTACAAACTACTGTGTAGCCCGTGCGATGCACGGGTAACTAATATTAAATAATAATTATAAATTAAAGGTAAACAATATTAAATAATAATTATAAATTAAAGATGAGGTAAACAATATTAACTAATAATTATAAATTAAAAATATGGAATTAATATGTGATATAATTTGTCCTATATCAATTGTAACAATACAAAATTATCTAGTGTAAAAAAAATAAAAAAATGTATGGTTAAAATATTAAAAGTACCTAAAATATTATATAACATATGTAAAAATATCTAAACTTTTATATATCATTGTTGAAATATGTTAAGTCACCTAAAATTTTACTATACTATTTTGTAAAGAAGACATGTCTAAAACTGTTTAAAAAGATGTGAAGTCACCTAAAATTTTCTAAATTATTTTTAAAAAAATACCTAAAAATATTTAAATTTAACATATGTATTTGTATGTGTTGATAAACGGAATTTAACAACGTAATTAAAGTATCTATCATTATATAAAAAGAATAACCTTTTTACAAATTTAGAAACTTTTTCCCGCCAAAATCATTAAATATATCCTAATATAGTGATTGTTGGACAAATCTAAATAGACAAAAAAATCGGCTCATTTTTTTTAGTTTATCAAAATCGTTGTTTGACAATAAATATTTTTTTTTCTTTTTCCTATTTTTAGTATAAATCTACACGCTTATCTCTTCTGTTACAAAATCTCATTGCATACGTCTCCCGTGTTTAAAAAATTTCATCCTTTATCTATACAGATTTAAAAAAATATAATAAAATAGAAACCAATTCATAATTACTACTAGAAATCCATTATCTTTAAAAAGAAAAAATAAAATAAAATAGAAATCAATTCATAATTACTACTGAAAATCCATTATCTACTTTAAGAAGCTAATTTTTATCGGTCTAATTACTAATATTTTTACAAATATTATAAGCTAACCATACAAAAAAAGTATAATAATAATTTTTAAATGGTGTGTAATCAAATTTTTTTATATTATCTTATACAAAATAATTTTACATTGCTTGACCCCGAATCTTTAATTTATAATTATTAAGTATTGTTTATCTTCCTCTTTAATTTATAATTATTTTTTGCTTCCTCTTTTTAAATAGGATCAATATTAGTTTCCACTTCGGTCATTGAGTGACTCAAACTCGAGGTCTATTTATAATATTGTTAATTTAATATTATTTCTGTGCATCGCACGGGGTATACACTAGTGTACAATGATACAAGTTGCAGAAATAGGATTTTTATTGAGTTTTTTGAGGTCGATTTTATGGTTGAAGAAGTCGTTTTTTCAGTACAAGAGGTCGGTTTTTCATACAACCGAGGTGTTAAATGCTTGAATTTAATGTCCTCAAAAAGGATCCTCATATTGAGTTAAATACAACTATTTATAGTAACGTTCTGCACGCCTTTTGAGGAGATTCGGCGGCATTTAATGCGGTTTGACAGCATAGAGTCGGCTATAACGTAAGCAAGGCTATAGGCAAGGATGAGGGCATAGGCCGCCCATCAGTTGATTAACAGGCGTCACTTCTTGTCGAAATGAGGTCGGGCCTGCCTGATCCCGGTGTTCTGCGATCCATTGGTAGGCCGCGCGTACCGAGGTGTCGACCCAAAACCGAGGTGATCCCGGGAAAAACTCCTTGTATGTCGAAACTTAGCATTTAGTTATAATCGTCCTTATTAATCTTCCGAAGACATCCTTAATTTGATGTAACTGATCCTGATATCAACATATCGTGTATATGTAAATGTATATATAAATAGAATGTGTAAAAAAATTATCTAAACAATATGTTTAAAACTATATTAAATACTAAATATTATGGGCGTAACATATTATCTCACTTTAAATTTGTTGAGAGAATATAAAAATTAATTTTTTTAAGTACTCACGTGAGAAAGGAGTTTAAAATTTGGTAGTTTTTAAAGTATAAGAAATTCGAATTTTTTGAATGGCATATTGTATGTAATCCGCTTCAAATTTTTTACTGAAGGTTATGAAACATTGGTATTCAAAATCGGGAGAATCCCAAAATTTTAGGATGTTCTGTTGTATAGAATAAAGAGCTGCCTAATATTATTGGTTTGATTTTTTGTATGGAATAAAGAGCTGTCTAATATTATTGGTTCGATTTTTCAGGCTTCTTTACGTGTATGGAATTCGATTTCAATTACAGTAGTAAGAACCAAAACCTAATATTAAAATATTCTTGAACCTGATTTAAATATTAAAATATACAATAATATTGGTCCAATTTTAATTGCAACAGACGTGTATTGAATCAGATTTCAATCAATCGTGTGAATTAAAAAATGCAATAATATTGTTCTAATTTTTAATGGCACCAGACGCGTATGGAACCAAAAACCAATTTTTTTGGCTATTCATTTAATCATGTCTGAAAATCTTTACAAAAATTTCCAAACGTATATGAATTAAATGATGTCCATAATATTTGCTAACTATTTTTAGTAAATGTTAATCTCTGTATATAGATATATAGATTACCATGGGAAGTCCTCAATAGAAAAATATATTAGACAATGTAATCATTGGCATTGAATGCATACATTTTTTATACAGTAAGAAAAAAGGCAAAAAGAATTTCATGGCTGTTAAACTTGATATGATAAAGACTTATGATAGGGTAAAATGGAATTTTCTTGCTCGGGTGTGTTTTAAGATGGGGTTTTGTAATAAGCTTGTTTCTTGGATTTCCTCATCTTTCTTTTTTGATGTGCATGGGGAAGTCC